GAATCCCACGTGCTATGAACTTAGATATGCGGCTGATGTAATGGATAATGGCTCAGAATTGTTAATCGGAGAGACTAGTTTCAATTGCAGTTAGATTCGTTATATTCACTTTCACGCAAATACACTTTTCTCCCCCCAGCTATGGATTAATTAGTAAGATGTGTATTACTAAACCATTATTATCTCCAAAAATAAAATTGCGTACAAAATGACTTTGATATCGGCATTAAATAACCCACAGAGGTGTTGATATGCCGCTAAACAAATACAACCAACTAATAGCCTAAAATAACCTATTATTTCATTGGAGCATTTATCATTTAAAAATGTTCTTTTAGGACAGGAAATGGGATTTTAAAAGAAGAGATGCAAAAGTAACATTTTTGCTACAAATTGAATTTTACCGAATATCAGTCGTGAATGATGGAGATAAAATATATTCGGGAAAAAAAAGAGACTTGAATGAAAAACAGTGATGAAAAAATAATTAAATAAATTCTCGATTTTATTACAGCAATAAACGCAGACATATTAAAATGCATTTCATAACAAAAAAGAAAAACTTCTTTAAAAAAAAAAAAAAGAGGACTAACCTTTTTTCTGGTCATTATTTTTTTAGTATGAAATTCATTTTAAATTTGCCTCGTTTTATTGCTCTAATAAAATTCCAGATTCTTCTCCTTTTTTTCAGTTGGATTAACTTTATTTTTATTACAACAACGTTTCGGCTGTAGTACTCTTCGACCTTCTCTAGTCGATCTACGAAATAAATACCATACACGTATGATTTCTTTTTCTGCACTGTATGAAACCAGTTTTGCTGCTATTGGTAAAAGTCTGCCAAATAAGAAGACCTCCCCGTTATCTTTAGCATTCGCATTGAGCATTATCCGTTTCTAATCACAAATCAATCTTTGATGTAAAAACTTCCGTTAAAGAGAAAGAGGCAGCCATAACCAATTCCTTTCAAATGTTTAAAGACCTGATATTACTAAACTACATCATTTACATCTTTTTAAACAGGAGAGTTTTTATTAATAGACTTTCTTTCCTTAATGCTTTTCTAGCCTCAGCTGTTGCAGCCTTGTTGTCTAACTTGACTCCCTTTGCCGCTGTTTCTATTTCTTTTGCAGCTCATTCTGTTGTTTCATTCTTATTTATGGCTCCGATATTTTGTCTATATATTGCATGCAAATATTTCATTTATGTTATATCATCTGACCCCTTCAAATGTCTGATTCTCTATTGATAATAACGGTGAACCCATAGCCACTCCCACTTGATGGTATATGTGCACATGGTGAACGTATAGATAGAATACTTCGAGGAAATGGTTTTAGGGATGAGCCTTGAAAACCAACCAGTCTTTTACCGACATTAGCAGAACTTGTTTTATATGGCTCTGAAAAGAAATCACTTGTATTGCATTTATTTCACAGATCGTCAGAAGGAAGGTCGAAGAGTAAAACGGCCGAAACGCTGTGATAATAAAACAAAAGATTAGAACATTAGTGCAACTGAAAATAATAAAAATGATGATAAAGCTTCATGACACAAATTTAAAATGGAATTTCCAGATTGTTTTCAAGTAGATGCGAAATTGTTCTTAGGAGAATTTTTTTTTTCTTTTTTCATTCTTCTTCTGCTCTTTCGTCTTCTATTACCCCCCCTCCTAACTGCTGCTATTCTTCCTCTTTTTTCTCCTCGCCTCCTTATCTTTTCCTCTTTCTTCTGCTGCTCTTGATTTTCTTGTTTTACATTCTTTTTTATTCCTCTTCTTCTTCTTCTTCTTTGTCTCATTCTTCTCCTCCTATTTTTCTTCCTCTTCTTCTTCTTCTGCTACTTCTCTTTCTCTTCCTTCTCCTCTTCCTACTTTCCACCCAATCTTCCATTATTGCTCTTTTTTTATCATTGTCTCTTCCTTCTCTTGCTCCTGCTCTATTTCTTCTTCTCCTCCTCCTTCTTCTTCTTCTTCTTCTTCTTCATCTTCTTCTTCTTAATTTTCCTCTTCTTAATTTCCCTTCTTCTACTTATTCTTCGTCCTATTCCTCCTCATTTTTTTCTTCTTCTTCTTCTTCTCATTCTTTTTCTTCTTCTTCTTCTTCTTCTTCTTCTTCTTCTTCTTCTTCTTCTTCTACTACTTTCACTTTCGCTCCATTCTCTTTCTCCGTCTCTTCTTCTTCATTCTTCTTCGTCTCTTCATTCTTCTTTTTCTTCTTCTCATTCTTTTTCTTCTTCTTCTTTCTCCTTTTCTTTCTTCTCATTCTTCTTCTATATTTAAATTGATAATCTGAATCTACGCACTTATATTTATGAAAGTTTTTTTTTACTATTTCTCTCTTACACCCCGCCTACGACACCGAGGGGGAGGGGGGTGTTAGTCACTTAAATTCCGTGCTTCTCTATCTCTTTCGTGCTTCTCTCTCTCTCTCTTTCTCTCTCTCTCTATTCTCTCTCTCTATCTCTCTCTCTTTATCTCTCTCTCTCTCTATCTCTCTCTCTCTCTCTCTCTCTATTTTATCGTATATTTCTTTCTCTTTTCCTTTCTATCTCATTATCTCTTGGAACTTATTTTTGTTTTGTTTTCATCATTATTTTCTTTCTAAATTTGTTTTATTAAATCAAAAGTCACGGGAAATTAATTAAATAATTATAACTGCATTTTGTTTTGTTTTTTGTTGTCGTCGTTGTTGTTTTTTTTTTTTTTCTTGTCCGAACAGAATTTTATTTGTGAGAATTAAAAAAAAAAAAAAGACGTCAAGGTTTTATACACTCACAGCAAAGAAGCCATCTTTTCAAATTACAAGAATTCACCAAGGAATAGTATCATTCCAATAAGTCAACTAAATCTGTTTTTTGCTAACAAAAGCGCCGAATATATATATATATATATATATATATATATATATATATATATATATATATATATATATATATATGAGAAAGGAACCATAAAAATCGAAATTCAAATATGGCGACCGAACTGGACGTAGTCTTGCATGGCGCCGCCAGGTGTAACGAGTCGACACTATTCTTTACCAGTTTGCATATGACATTATTCTAGAAAAACTGGTTTGTATTTTCCTTGTGTCTGCAAGCTCGCTTGCTGATCTTCCCAATGGCATATAAAAAAGAAATGAGAGCGCACGAACTTTTTGATTTCCTTGGACTAAAATTGTTGTGATATATATATATATATATATTTTAATGTTTTTTTAAGGAAAAAGGCTTTAAGTAAATCGCATTCGCGTTTTCGACGCTCGGTGAAATGTCACCGGAAAACTAAGTGTTCTGAAAAATCAAACATCAGCGATGAGAAACAAAGAACACAAGAATCTCTGGACAAAATCCACATTTCTACAAATGTTTCTCGCAATGGAAAAAAAACAATTTTGGGTCAATTGCTGCACTGAGTGAAAAGGAAAGTACGTTGAAAGATTATACTTGTAAAACGTAAGCAAGTATTTAAAAATATAAATTACCACAATTCTCTTCTACAATCTTACATCTTTCTATCTACAGGGTGATTGAAAAGTAACTCCCTATTATATGTATGATGGACTCTCCCGTCTTGTAAAATTATAGTTAGACGGGAGAGTCCATCATACATAAAATAGGAAGTTACATTTCAATCACCTTGTACATCTAACTATATCCATAGAGAAGTTGTGGTCTATCATTAAAAAGAGTATAGAAGAGGGGGAAATTGTATTAACGCAAACGAAAATCAATGACAGAAAGACAGATAAAGTTTATAGAATGTCAAAGAGCCTACCAAATAATAAGCTAAAAAATAATTATATGAAATAATCAATAATTTATTTATTTCAATAATAATTCACTCAAATATATAGAAGGTAGTTTTAATGGATTCTATGTTGATATGGGTATTATCCTAGGGGTTTATTTTATAAAGAATTATTTTTTGTCGTACTTTGAATAATAAAACTGTCACCCACAAAACAAATTATCCGTCCTAGGTAAGACGATCAACTACATCCGCCTCCTGGGTAAGACGATAAACTACGTCCACCACCAAGGCCTATGATCAAGAGGTTTTGAGGGGTATGAAATCACCTCTTAATTGCTGGTGTTCCCAGATCTACGAAGGCCTGGAATGGTAACACCTGTTAGGGTCCCATTTGGGGTCAAAACGTGTAAAAAATGGGTTTATTACCGGCGATAAATTTTTGAATAAAAAATTATCACATTATTTACATTATTCGATATTGTCCTCATCTTTGTTGCCATATTTATCACACAATATATATATATATATATATATATATATATATATATATATATATATATATATATATATATATATATATTACTGAAATTTTGCCGTTCAGTTGGAGCAGTTTAACTTTAAAGTCAGCACATCCGAAAATCAATATTAGTAACAACAATTGGGTGCAACTTAGGCACGTCCCCAAAAGGGGGGGTAACCATTTGAATAGGTGGGTGACCCTCAAAAGGGCCGTTTTTGTGTTCTCAGTCTTGAAACGGAGGAACCTCTTCCATGGACCATCATAATAATAATATACCATAATTTTTATTTGTAATATAATTGTTTTCATATAATTCTAAGAATCTTTTGTGTTAGATTTCAACTCTCTAAATTGACTGTACGCTGTTTTTTACAGACATTAAATTCTTGCCTTTGATTTTTGCGCAAAGTGTAAAAAATCAGTTTTCTTCAATTTTTCACCTTCAACCAATTTTGACTCAAAACCGCCACTGAAGAATTATCTATCAAACAAAAAAAATTTCATCGAAATCGGATGAAAACTGGGGAGACGCATAAACAACATCCGATCACACACACAGACACACACACACATACACAAACACACACATTCTGAGCATTATAAGCCACGACGATGATGATGACACATATATATATATATATATATATATATATATATATATATTTACCACTAAATATTGAGAGCAAATTCATGTTGCCGCACTTTTTGAAAAGATGGATGTTGTGAAGACTACTGTTTCAAATGAAAGTCAGGATAGATAGATAGATAGATAGATAGATAGATAGATAGATAGATAGATAGATAGATATGAACAGGTTGAGATAAATGTATAGATATGAGCAAGCTGAGATAGATAGATAGATATGAACAGCCTGAGATAGGTAGATAGGTAGATATGAAAATCTAAATACATAGCTAGAAATGAACATATATATATATATATATATATATAATAGCTGGCCACTCTTATTCGAGGATACCTGTCTATTAGGGCGGCTGGCCAATCCCTATTGCAGACGCTCGCTCATGCACATTTGTGTTTGTTCAACACCCACAGAGCCCACCTGTAGTTCATACTGCAACTATGCTGACCTTAGCAGACCTTAGTTACAGTTTCTGGCAAAGAGAGTGTTATATAGAATGATCAACAAGCTGAACTACACTACCACACTCAAACACTCGGTCACGATGACTTGTGACTTCGTGCTAGCACAGCTATCGCCCCCCCACAAATGTTCTGTCTACCCAATTTTACTCCCAAGGCTTGGGTCAACTTGTGGTATGCTTTTCAGGCCCTTTCTAAAGGTGCCGCACGCTGGGGTCGCCTCTTCCAGACCGGTAACATCAGGAAGTCTATTTCCTAACAAATCAACCGTGGTAAGATTGGAAACTGGGTCTCATGGTCAGAAAGCGGACCTATGTATATATATATATATATATATACAGAGAGAGATATTACGAGGTTAAGAAGAGACAAATCTGAACAAATATATAGACAGATCTCAGACAAATATATCGATATATGAACACACACACAATCAGGAAAAAATAGCAGTGATCTGAATCTGCACAGAACATGCTACGGAATCGAAGACTCACCGGTTCCCCATTACCATCTCGTGTGTCACGCTTGTCTGGTCACATCCACTCATACACACTTCTGCGGGGCAGTGCGCTGTCGCAGAGTGAATTTCAGCCCCTGATACAACTTCCAACCAGAGAAATCGAATGACTGCACTTTGTACCGCCATGTTGCACACTGCTAGCGGAGTACGCATGTTTACACTGTAACAGAGGCAAGAAAACTGGCACGATCAAGCGCAAACATCGATCACGTGACCATGATAGTCCCAACTATAATGACGCATGAGCAGAAGGCAGTGTGACAAACCTGAAGATATCTTATGGCGACAGTGCGAATAATTTTTTTACTTACCCTCAAACTTTGCCAAAAACTGGTAGAAGGATAAGATGAATTAAGATGCAGAGAAATCAAATAAACAAGATATGAATCAAGATACACAAAAGAGCAAATAAAAAAGAATCAAGATTCACAAATGTATCAAATAAAACAAGATATGAATCAGAAAAAAAAACAATAATAAACATTAAAAATATCAAATAAAACAAGATCTAAATCATGGTATACAAAAACGCAAGTAAAACAACATACGAATTAAGATTCACAAAAAATCAAATAAAACAAGATCTGAATCAAGATTCCTCCAAAATTAAATAAAACAAATATTAAATTTCACAAAAAATCAAGTAATAAAAAATATTAATGAAGATACGCAAAAATCAAATAATTCAAGATTTGAATAAAAATACACAAAAAATCAAGTAAAAATAGAATTAAGATACAAAAAATAATATAAATAAACGAGATCTGAATCAAGATTCATAAAAACAAATAAAACAAGATTTGAATCGAGATACACAAAAAATCAAGTAAAACAAGAATCAAGATTCACAAAAAGTTATATAATACAAGAAATGAATCAAGATACACAAAAAGCAAGTAAAACAAGATACGAATCAACATTCACAAAAATCAAATAAAACAATATCTGAATCAATATACACAAAAAATCAAATGAAACAATATATGATTCAAGATACGCAAAAAGTAAGTAAAACAAGATACAAATTATGATAAAAAAATTCAAATGAAACAGGCTACGAATATAGATAACCAAAAACAAATAATACATGAATGAAGATAGACAAAAAGATCAAATAAAACAAAATGAAGATAGACAAAAAAAGAACAAAAAAAACATGCTACATCTGTACATATATTCAGCTGTAAAGAAAAGTCTATATGATTTCCATATGCACGTGTTTCAAAAAGCATTTTTTTCTCTTCGTTTTGCTACGTGGCCATTTTATTTAATTGCCATATCCCAAAAGTCCCAAGGCCTTATTATTTACAAATTATTTTCCCTTCGAGACAAACAGCAGCACTCAATGTACCTGTAATTTCTAAAAACTTTGGTTTTAAAGGATTTTTCTTTCTTTTTCAAACACCGATATTTGTGTTGGGAAAACACCGACTGGCTTTCAAGAAATCATTTTGCTTAAATCTGCAATTTGGAGCAGAGATGCTAATTATACGCTTTTTATTGGTTTACCATTTCGGATTTTGGGCTGAAAGCTATCAAATCGGAATCCTATGCTTGAAAAGACAGGACTTACCTTAATAATTTCCAATCGAAAATTCCTTTTTCGTCGTTGTTATTTATTAGTGTGTTTTCAACTGCCTAAAATCAATGTTTAGTATCGCTTCTTATCTAATTATTGTATCACATGCTTTAATACTTTAAATCAGCTAATATTCGTCCAGAATTCAGATTCAGAAAAATATATTTTATATTTGGATGATTTTTTTAATAAAGAGAATAACATTGCGGTGAAAGATAACTACAAAAGGGCGATAATCAACTATTTTAGCCCGTCCTGGGTATGACTATAAACTACATCCGGCAACACGTCCTGGGTATGACAACAAACTACATCCGTGTCCTGGGTAAAACTATCCAGTAACAAGGCCACTGATCAGGAGGTTTTGAGGAGCGTGGAACCACCTGTTAATTACTAGTGTTCCCAGGTCAACCCTAACACTGTTAGGGTCCCAGCTATGGGCAAATATTTAACCACGAAACTAGGGTAAAAATGGGTTTTAATACCAGGAATAGTTTGTAAAAAAAATTATCAGCAGCAATAAATTTTTGAAGAAAAAAAACTATTACCAGCAATAGATTTTTGAAAAAAAATATTACCATACGTTTTTGAAAAAAATATTACCAGCAATACATTTTTGAGGAAAAAAATATTACCAGCAATTCATTTTTGAAGGAAAAAATATTACCAGCAATACATTTTTGAAAGAATAAAATATTACCAGCAATACATTTTTGAAGGAAAAAATATTACTAGCAATACATTTTTGAGGAAAAAAAATATTACTAGCAATACATTTTTGAAGGACAAAATATTACCAGCAATACATTTTTGAGGAAAAAAAATATTACCAACAATACATTTTTGAGGAAAAAAATATTACCAGCAATACATTTTTGAGGAAAAAATATTACCAGCAATACATTTTGAAGGACAAAATATTACTAACAATACATTTTTGAGGAAAAAAAATATTACTAACAATACATTTTGAAGGAAAAAATAAAATACATTTTTGAGGAAAAAAAAAAATATTACCAGCAATACATTTTTGAAGGAAAAATATTACTAGCAATACATTTTGAGAAAAAAATATTACCAAGCAATACATTTTTGAAAAAAAAATACATTTTTAGAATAAAATATTACCAACAATACATTTTTGAAAGAATAAAATTTTGCAATACATTTTTGAAGGAAAAAATATTACTAGCAATACATTTTTGAAGGAAAAAAATATTACCAGCAATACATTTTTGAAGAATAAAATATTACCAACAATACATTTTGAAGGAAAAAATATTACCAGCAATACATTTTTGAAAAAAAATATTACCAGCAATACATTTTTGAAGAAAAAAATATTACCAACAATACATTTTTGAAAGAATAAAATATTACCAGCAATACATTTTTGAAGGAAAAAATATTACCAGCAATACATTTTTGAAGGAAAAATATTACCAACAATACATTTTTGAAAGAATAAAATATTACCAGCAATACATTTTTTAAGGAAAAAAATGTTACCAGAAATAGATTTTTGACAAAACAAAATATTAGCAGAGAAAAAAAAAGTTGTCTGCAATAAATGACCCATTGAAGTTGATATACCGTAAAACAAAACAAACCAAACCAAATCGACTATTTTAGTAAAAGTAACAAAAACATTCTTCCAGTCGATTTAAATTAGTTTTAAATTAGTTTTTCAAAATACAGCAAAGTATTTGGCTCATTGGAAATTTTTAATCTATTAACTTGAAATTAAAACTAAAATAAAATCTTCAATAATGATTTTTCATTTTTTTAAATTCATTTTAAACCTTTTTTAACTGTATTTTTGAGGTACCTAATTAAAACCGATAATTTATAAAATATCACTTTTGACTATTAATTTTCTTGTTCAGAATCAAAAATTGTCTATAGTAAAATTCATAAAAATGCAGTAAACATTCATGAAAAAAAAACTAAATTTTAAATAAGAAAAATAACACAATATGATATTTTATTTTTATTATAGTCGATATACTTTCTTAAAGAAATGTTCACTAAAGAAACCTTTTTTTAAACCTATAAAAAAGTCATAAGACAAGGAAAACAGATATTTTCTTTAGCTAAAGAATTTATCGTTTTAATTGAATCATTTTATTATTTTCCTTAAAAGATTTTTATTTTATTAAAGCAGATACTTTCTTAAAGATAATATCAGTTTCATTGTTTAGGATTAAAGAACTATTATTCATAAATTTAAGTACATGTATTGCTGTATGTATTCATAAAAAAATGCAATACACGAGGTAATCTTACATTATTAATTTATATATTATATGTATTTGATTATAAAATATTATTATTATTATTGGATAATTTTATTAAAATGATTATCAAAGTTATAAGTAATATTAAATCTTCAAACATAAAAATATAATTTTAATAATTTGTTTGTTTAATCTATTTCGCTTGTGAACGGGCTTTTGTCCGTTTTTCATCTTTCCGGTGATTGGGGGGGGTTCTGGTCGCTCAAAAAACTCCTTTTTAGTTGTTTTGAGTAAAGGGGACCTATTTATTTATTATAAAAAGTAATGAATAAGTACAGAAAATTTCATTAAAATCGGATAATTTATTTTTAATTAAAACAAAAATGGGTCTGACTTAAATTATTTTTTAATTACCATCCCGTTGTTGATAT